CAAGATCAAAACTATTTGTAGCCCTTGGACTTAGGACTGAAACTCCCTGAAGGAAGAGGCAGCAAACGATGGCCACCCCAAGACCATGGAAAGGGTGGTCGTTGAACCTAGATAGGACCCCTGGCTTAGTGGGCACCCAATGAAAGGGGACCCAGATTCACCATATATTCAGTACCTCAGTGCTCCCCTTACATTAATATGAAAGGTACTAAGATGATAGACAAGGATCTGCCCTTGTAAGAAATGTTACAGAAAACATCTCCTAGCACCAACCCCTGTGCTCAATGAATTAAGAAATCTATCTGTACAAAGTAATATCTCATGGATAGCAGCTCATAGGTGGACTATATTCGCATGTACTGTCATATCAACAGTGCCTTACACTCTATTACATTGGATAAAATATTGATGTTACCAAAGCCAGAGCCTTATACCCCAGGGGGATGATTGACAATATTTTTCTTTTTTGTTTGTTTGTTTGTTTTGGTTTGGTTTGGCTCTGTCTTTGTTTGTTTTTGTTGTCTTTGGTTGTTGTTCTTGTTGGGTTTTATTCCAAATATCACGAATGGAATGGTATCAGAGCTTAAATTGTGGACACTGAAAGGCTAAGGAAGACAGTGGGAGTCCAAAATCTGCCTGTAGATTATCTAGTCAGATTAAGCCACTGGCAGATCTCACAGGCGAAAGATTCAAACAGCCTTGAGAATGATGAGGGCAACAAATGTACAAATGTGCTTGACACACAATGGATATATGTGTGGATTGTGATAAGAGTTGTACAAACCCACAATGAAATAAATTTTAAATATGTGTATATATGTAACTAAACTATTCTGACAATAAAAATTAAATAAAATTTACTTCTAATTCAATAGTCAAAAATAAAAGGTCAGACAGAAACTATTATAAACTTGATTGTGGTGGATCAAACTACAGTATATTATAATACATGGCCCAGTTGACCTCCCTCTTAAAGCAACCTAAATTGTCTTGAGGCTTAAACATTTCTCACTTTTGTCACAACTGAAATATCTTCTCTTTTTATTAATATTGTTAGCGGTCTTTCCTTTCATAGTCTTTATTTTTATCTTTATATTATTTTTATTTTCTTTCTGCTTTGTTTTGGTTTGTTTCTATTATTTTTGTTAAAGTTTCCAGTTTATGAAACACAGAAGGAATGGATGAATACAGGCAATAACCAACACATTGGTTTATCAGCAATGGTCGATGGGGAAAGTGAAGTGAATGGGGGAGCTAACAATGAATGCTGGAGGGGTGAGGGGACGCTAGAATTGATTGTGATGATGTATATGCAACTCTTTTGAAAAGTGACTTAACAATGGAAGTGTATGTGGAATAATTTGGGAAAGGATATCAATAATGGTTGCACATCAGAATATGATCAATGGCACTGAATTATATGCATGTACAAGGTATTCAGTTGGAGAATGTTTTGCTATGTAAATTTTTGCCATAATTAAAAAGTAAAATTAAGGAATTAAACTAAAATTTTCTAAAAGAGAACTGAGTTCCTGATAATGAAAATATTTGGAAATGTTGCACCAAACATGAATGGTAGTGTTACTGAATTGTACCCTAAAAATAGTTGAAATGGCTATGTTTCACTAAACAAAAAATTTTAAATATTGATGAAAAGCTATATTCCTCAAGAACTCTAATTTCTTCATGATGCCAAAGTACTTTACATATACAGTGAACTCTTGGTTCTAAATCTCAGTATAACCCCAAAGTCTCATTTACAGAGATCTCCTTTTGTCTTACAAAATTTCCTTTCTCAAGATTGGACACAGGAATCTTATATTATTAATACCACTGGTTTCAAACCACTTGATTTAGTTTGACTCATTAATATAACTTATTCTTTTATAGGGAAGCAGTTTCCTTTTGGTTAACTTACTGTATATATTCGTGTATAAGCCAAATTTTTCAGCACATTTTTAATGCAGTTTTTGTGGTAAAATTAGAATGCTTTGGCTGATGTTTGGGTCAGTTTATACTCACATATATATAGTAAATAGCTTTACATTCACCTAATAGAACTCCTTCCTAACAAATATTTATATATTTTACCTTTGTACACTGTTGCACATATCTCATATATCAAGAATTTATTCACAAGTTTCTTTGTGGGTTTTTTGTTTGTTTTGTTCTTACTCAATAACTACCTTTGCTTCCGAGCCCAATTCTTCTTTCTTTTGTAATTAATTAAAAACAAAAAACCAAAACCATTTTTCTCTCGTAGGGAAAGTACAGAGCATGTGTGCAATTCCCACTTGGTCTTCCAAAGGGGGCCACTGTTCCCCAGTTAAATAATCAGACTCATCCGATTGAAGACTAAAATCAACTGTGACAATAAAAACCTTTATATAAACCTCGGAATCTATCTGTATACTCCTAGGAATTTAAGAATCAACCACAAATTCAGAAAACTAGCCATGAAAACCCCAACTTTCTAAGGAAATGCTGAGTGATATACTTCTAAAGTCTTCCACAAGAAATCTGAAAATAAGACTACGCTATCCTAAGCAGACATGAAACCAGCAAAATGAGTTATCACTCAAAGTTTCAAGACAAAGAAAATTACCAAGAAAATTAATTTTACTTGAAATAATCTTCATCCTTTTAAAGGAATTATTCGTGCTTAAACAATAATATTGTGTGATATTTTTAATTCTATTTTATTGTGGTGTAGTTTATATACAGAAAACCTATGTGTATAATTTCTGAACGCTGGCCTATGTGTATAGTTATATAATGACCAGCATGTTAAGAATAAAGACTATTTCCAGTATCCCAAAAGTACCTGCAGGTCTGTTTGCAGTCAATCATCACCTCCAGTTGTCCCTGGTAACCACTAGTGGCTTTCTACCGATCATTTTGCCTTTTTTATAACTTCGTATAAAGGGAAATACTTCCGATGTAGTCTTTTATATCCAACTTTTTCACATCGTATGCCACCTTTCAGATTCATCCGTGCTGTTGCCTATAAGAGTCATTTATTCCTTTTTTATCATGGGCTAGTATATTTGAAGTATCATACATATGTGTATGTGCTCATGATTTCATCACTTTATTTTAAAATATTAACTGAGCATTCACTATGCGCTAGGCACAGTTATAAGAAGTCCCGGAGGTGCCGTGGATTAGGTGTCGGGCTGCTCACAGCAAAGGTGGTAAAACCCACCACCCACTCTACAGGAGAAAGGTGAGGCTGGCTGTTCCCAAAACGACTTAGTCTGAGAAACCTTTCTGTTCTTTCCTATAGAATCAGAATCAATTTGATGGCAGTAAATACACTTGTTTCAGGGGTGGGGGTCATAGTTGTTGTGTACAAAAAATCAAACAAAATGGACAAAAATATCTGATCTTGCAGATTTGTACATACGATTGGAAAGGTGAGCAAAATCTAAAGTACATCAGAAAATGTTAAATGCTAATGAAAGAATATCAAGCAAGCAGGGAAAGGAATAGAAAATGTTGAGAAGGAAACTTGCAATTGTAGTTAAAATACGATAGCCAGGGGAGGTCTTGCTGATACAATAACAACTGAATAAAGACAAAGAAAGGGAGAGAGCAAGCCATGTGGATTTCTAGTGGGTGAGGGAGTAATTCCAGGCAAAGGCAATGGCCTTAAAAGGATTAAAAGGCCTTAAAAGAATATCCTGATTTTTTGATAGAAATTCTAATCTCCACTGCAGGCATTACCATAAAACAAGTCTTCAGGAAATAACAGAGTACCAAATTATCAATAAACTGATGAAACTCTAGAAGCACCCACTGGTCTATGCCAAGAAATTCAGAAGACAGCTACCCAGAGAACTGGCTGGTAGAGATCATATCTGCACCCACTCTAAAGAAAGGTGCTCAAGAGAAAGTGGAAATGATTGATCAATTACCATTAATGCCATATGTAAATTTTTGTGGAATATTATTCAACAATGGTGGTAGCAGTACATTGACAGAAAGCTGCCAGATTTTAAAAGATTCCATAAAGGATGTAACATCTCCAGCTGATATCAGATAGATCTTGGCTGAAATTAAAGAATACCAGAGAGGTGTTGACTTGTGTTTTATTAACTATGCAAAAACACTCAACTGTGTGGATAATGATACATGATGGATAGCATTGAGAAAGATGGGAATTCCAGAACACTTCATTGTTCTCATGTGGAACCAGTACATGAACCAAGAGGCATTCGTTCAAACAGAAGCAGGAATACCGAGTGCTTTGAAATCAGGAAAAGTGTATGTCAGGGTTGTATATCCTTTCACTGTTATTACCCATTCACTATGCTGAGCAAATTTTACTTGCTAAAAGTTAGGAAGACTTTAAGCACTTACTGAGGGAGATCAAACACTTCAGGGGATCACAGCTCAAGGTAAGGAAAACCAAAATGCTCATAATTGGACCAATAGATAACTCCATGAGAAATGGGAAAAATATTCAGGTTGCCAAAGATTTAATCTTGCTTGGATCCACAACCAGTGTTCACAGAAGCAGCAGTCAATAAACTAAAGAAAGTACTATATTTGAGCAAATCTCCTGCACAAAGCCTCTTTAAAGGATTGAAACAAGGATGTCACTTTGAGGACTAAGTTGTGCCTGACCCGAGGGACAACTGCTTCATATCGATGTGAATGTTTTACACGGAATAAAGAATACTAAAGATGAATCAATGCATTTGAATCACAATGCTGGCAAAGAATCCTGAACAGACTGCTGGAAGGACAAATAGCTCTGCCTTAGAAAATACAGAGATAGCTCCTTAGAAGTGAGGGTGGCGACACTTTTTTTTCCCCATGTACTTTGGAAATGTTACGAGGAAAGACCGGTCCTCAGAATAGGATATCATACTTGGTAAAGCAGAAAGTCAGGGAAAAAAGAGGAAGACCTTCAAGAGGCTAGATTGATGTGGTAGCAAGACTGTTCAAACAGAACAATTGGGAGGTGGGCACAGGACCAAGCAGCTGCTGCTTCTGTTGTACCCGGGGGTCACTAGGAATTGGCAACTGACAGCAGTAACATACTGTGATGGGGAAACTTTCCCCAAAAAGATTTTAAAGCAGCCACAAGTAATACATATTTTCTGATATTAATACCAAACACCTAATTTCATTTCTTAACATGTAAAATGTGTTGTTTTTTGTTTTTGTTTTTGTTTTTGTTTTGTTTTGCAGTAAATGTTCATGGGTGGGTTTCTTGCAAGTAAAAAAATTTTTTGCAAAGTAATCTACATTAAAAATTTTGCTTGGTTTCTCAAAGTCTTAAAATCTTAAACACTTCTCTAAATGGTTGCCTCAACTATTTTCTCATTCATCTTAGAAGGTCTAGAGATAACCTCCCCCAAAGAATAAAACAAGTATGAAAAGGGAGTACTGTCCAGTAGAGATAACAGTCATGGGAGCCGTGGACAAAACCAGGGAGGGCAGGAATTATGTAAAACTCAACTATCCAGGAAAGCATGAGGATAAGTCAAAACGGATTGCACAACATAATGGACACCTTTATTAAATAAAAATAGCCAAATGTAAAGCTATTGTTTCTCAGCACATCTTCCAAGTCTACACACTTCTGAAAGCTATCTTTCCTCCTCTCTAACCCATCCTTGAAGAACTCTCTGAGCTCCTTGATTTTTTCACACCTTGACAAAACACCTCGGGGAGCTTCCAGGGGTTCAAACAGAGGCCTAAAGGGGCAAGATCAAGTCCGGAGGGTGGGTGGGGAAGGTTTTCCAATGAAAGGCTCATTTCACAGCCCTTCCTGCACTCAAAGAATGAGCAGGGACATCATCATCTGTGGGAAAATAAAATCCCTTGGTGCAACTTGACTGCCCTGTTTTCAACAATGCAATTTTCAAATTTCCCTTCCTGTGCCCTCCGAGAAAAATCGATGCCTAAAGCAGTCCTGTAATCTTCAGAGCTGAACTCCTAGCCTTTCATTAAACTGGCCCAGCAGGTCCCTTCTCCATCTCTTGTTTTTACTGAACTTTGTTTTTAAAGGCAATTTAAGAGATAAAGAAAACTTGGCTGCAGCCATCCATTAGGACATAGGTTTAAACGTTTTGTTTGGAATAAATTCATGCAGGTATGAACTGGAATCTTAGAAGCATTTTTCTTTTTACTTACCCCTGTATTTTAAAAATTTATAAAAAGCTGAATGTTGGACTGTGACCCGATGCCAAAGGTTACCCAACAACCTTTCAGCGCACTTGGAATGACAGCCAACAGTCGCCTCTCCCTCCGATGCCTGTATCAGGACGGGCGCCCTAAGGACCCCACTGGCCCCTCTACCTGCGGGCTCCTCTGGTCACCTGTGGGCTCTGTCCCGCATGTTCACATCATGTTTCTTGAGGTGAAGGTATTCCTGCACTTTCTCCAAATCCCCCACGGAGACAGCCTTATGGATTTTCTTCAAATCCTTGTCCCTGAGCCTGTAGCCAGGTGGTGGGGGAGGACGAGCACGGGGGTGGCTCCTTGTGCTGCCCGTCTGAAGGTCGGTGGGGCAGCTGCGGGTGTCCCTCCCACGCCACCAGTTGAGAAGCTTCTTCATGGAGGTGCCAGCAGCAGCCCTCTGGCCGCCCCTGAGCTCTACAGGCGATTGATTCCTAAGAGCCCATGGCTCTCCACCTGGCTGCCAGACTCAAGGCCTCTCCAGCGAGGTCCGCACCCTAGACACAGAGCGGAAGGAGGCAGAAAACCAGACTGGAAGCTGGAAGCGCGGGCTCTGCACCAGCCTCAGTTGCCAAGCAACAGGAAGTTCTTCACCCAGCCTCTTTGTGACCACAGACCAGGCATCCCTGCTGGGATTCGCATCCACGCACCTCCCATTGGATCTTCAGCCTTTGGATGGAAGCTAACTCCCTTCCGTGCACAATAACGCCTCCTTCAAGAAAGGACTTACTGACTGGACGCTTTCAACTGAGATTAGCTTTCTATGGAGAAAGGGATCCTTTCCTGTGACTTTGCCCTCCATCCTACCCTCCGACTCTACCTCCGTGTTCAAACGATCCTTTAACGATCATTGGAATAAATTCTCCATTCCCAATGTCAAATCTACTTTTTAGACGTTTTCCATAGGTCCAATTCAATTCCGCCAGTCTCAAAACCCCAGAATTTCTTCCAACTCTCCCTGTAATCTAGTCCCACTAACGGCACCTACCGGTATCATCTGTTCACCTACCCCACACCCTCACTGATCTGCTTGCTTAGATTCCATCCCATGGGTGACCATGATAACTATTATCATGCATGCATCAATACTTTTGTACCCAACCCTGTCCTTATCTGTCTACTTAAATGAAGAGGAAACAAATCACTGCCATCGAGTCTTCTGATTCATGGAGACTCTAGGGTAGAACTGTGAGTTTTTTGAGACAGTGGCTCTTTGGGAGAAGAGAAACCCATCTTTCTCTTGAGGAGTGACTGGTGCTTTCCAACTGGTGACCTTGTACTTAGCGGCCCAATGTGACCCCCTCTGCCATCAATGACAGCAATAGTTCAATCTAACTACCCATCTAAAACTTTCTGGTCTTAGTGACTACTTCTGAAATGCAGGCACAGTCATCCATACCATCCTATCTCCAGCAGCAGGGGAAACCCCAGAGCTCCAACCCAAAGTTTGAGATCACAACTGGTTTTCCTGATAACTGACAGTAAAAACTTGTCCCAAAGGATTGCTAGTCTAGTGAAAACCAGTGATGCTTGTTGGTCACGATGTGGGGGAAGAGGAAAAGAGGGGGAGAGAGGGGAACTCAGCCATTGAAGGAGCCCTCGTGGTCACTCAAAATGCCAGTTGTTCAAGTGCACCCACCAGTGACTCTTCAGGAGAAAGAAGTGGCGGTCTGCTTCCACAGATTCCCACTGCCATCAAGTTGATGCCGACTTATAGTGAGCCTACAGCCTTGTTAACCCAACTGGGAGGTTCTGTAAGATACTGTGAGCCAGATCTGCCTGACAATAGCAAGTTTGCTTTGGATTTGACTGTCATTGATCACATTTTTACAATTCTTTACTAATCACTGGATAGGTTGGATTTTTATTTCCCTTGCTGATGCCTACAGAGGTTGCCGGTCTGAGTTTTATTATTATATAGATATATAATAATATACCTTATTATTGGCCATCTGGCCATGGTCTCTTTGTATATTCATTGTCTCACACATTTTCTAATACTAATCTCTTTACTTTCTTCTGACTTCTCAGTTTTAAAGCCTGAGAAAATGTGGGCACTTAACAAGAGTTAAGGAATCCTGGTGGTACAGGGGTTGAGCCATTGGCTACTAGTTGCTAGTTCAAACCCACCAGCCACTCTGTGGGACAAAAATATTGTAGTCTGCTTCCATAAAAGGGGAGCCCTGATGGCATAGTGGTTATGATTGTAGCTGTGGTCTGCAAGTTCAGCAGTGCTTAACCACTAACTGCTCCACAGGTGAAAGACAGGGCTTTCTACTCCCGGTCAGAATTGCTGTCTCAGAAACCCATAGGAGCAGTTATACCCTGTCCCATAGGATCACTATGAGTAGCCGTCTACTCAGTGACAGTGAGATTCCATAAGGATTATAGCCTTAGAAATCTTATGAGACAGTTCTACTCTGCCCTGTATGGGTTGCTATAAGGTGGAATTGACTCAAAGGCCATGGGTTTGGTGAATGTGTTGTAACAGAACTAGTAGGATTGGTTCAACTGTTTCAATTGGTCCAATTGTGTCGGTAAATGTACTTAGCCATCAAAGGCTGGTCTTGAAGTTGTCCTGAAGTCAGACCTTCCTAAGCCAGGAACTTACTGTAATTAAAATGCTCTGTGAGGCTATTCATCTATCTCTCCAGTATTGACTCTAAATCTCCTTTAGGTGCTTCTCCTATGGGCTCTCACAGCATCGAGTACATACCTCCACCATGTTGTCAGTATTTCCTTGGAGAGTAAATGATTGCACCTAGACTTGAGTTCTTGAAGGTAAGGACAGTATCTTATTATTCTTTGTTTCTGTCTAAGTTGCCAGTACTGAGGACAGTGTCAGGCATAAGGTGTGACTCTCATTACTGAACAAATTGGTATGAGACTATAGCTATCTTCCTTCCTGTATCAACCATAAAAGGTAAAGTCCCAAAATATAAGAATTATACATCTGCATACATGTTTTGGAGACTCTTCTTTCTGTCTATATCACTTCTGAAAATATGGCCCAGGTTGTTGTGTAATACTACTAACAGAACTGTCCTGTGGTGTTTCCTAAGCTATATTCTTTTTTTTTCTAATCATTTTATTAGGGGCTCATACAACTCTTATCATAATCCATACATACATCAGTTGTGTAAAGCGCATTTGTACATTCGTTGCCCTCATCATTCTCAAAACATTTCCTCTCCACTTAAACCCCCTGCATTAGGTCCTCATTTTCCCCCTCCCTCTCCACTCCCCCCTCCCTCATGAGCCCTTGATAATTTATAAATTATTATTTTGTCATATCTTGCCCTGTCCGACATCTCCCTTCACCCACTTTTCTGTTGTCCATCCCCCAGGGAGGAGGTCACATATAGTTCCTTGTAATTGGTTCCCTCTTTCCAACCCACTCTCCCTCTACCCTCCCAGTATCGCCACTCACACCACTGGTCCTGTAGGGATCATCCGCCCTGGATTCCCTATATTTCCAGTTTGGGAGCAGATGCTTACATCTACTCCTACAGAGCCAGAGACACAGGGGATAGGTTGGAACCATCAACCTTGTGGTTAACATCCAAGTACTTAGCCATTGCTCCCCTTTGTCTTAGTTTATAGAGTGGAATGACTGGCATGGACCCTTCACTTGAAATGGCCTACCTCCATTTTCTCTGGCAGATAACTGCTCCTTCAACACTGCTTACACTTTTAATGTCACAGACCCAAACCACTAATTAAACTCCAGTGTAAGGATGAAGTATAAACTTTGTCTTCATTTTCAAAGCCAACGGTTCCCTTCCTAGCTTATATAACAAAATTTTAACTGTTGCAACCAAGTCCATTACAACTAATGGCAACCCTCTTGGTGTCAGATTAGAACTGTGTCCATATTTTACTATCTCACTTTTATCGATGCAACCAACACGTGGAGAGATTGATTTGTAAAAGCTGCAAAACGATGTCTTGCTCCAGAGCCTGTGATCTTCACTGCCACATGACCCTGGCCTTGCCTGTGTGTCAAGTCCCTGAACCTGATGCAGAATGGGAATACTTTTAAATTTTAAAAAAAATCATGTTTAAAAGAATGTCAACTCATCTTTTAACTCCCATGGTGGCCTCTTAAAGATGCTTTATTTTATAACATAAAAGCCAAGTGCAACATTGAAGGAAACCTCCAAGTTTGAGGACACTCCGTCACCGTAAATCAGTATAGGCGTTTCCCTCTTTGTAGCGCACAATTAATTATAACCTGTCAGTTTCCACCATAAGGTGATTCAGATGAAATATATGACGTGTGTATGTATTTTCAACTTTCAAACAAAACTACATTGTCTCCTCAGTCTACCTCATGCCCCCCCACCACCACACACACACTGAGTTTTCTTTTTAACACATGACACAACGTGTGTGTTCTCCAAGTTTGTTCTCACCCACCTCCCTCCAGTCCTAACTTCTTGCCCTTCATTTTTAACTTACTTCAACTCCAAGGACTATATAGTTCTGTTTCATTCTATAATATTGGTCAAATGAATACATGTAAAAGAAAGATAATGCTTAAGAGCAAAATGTTCATAGAATAATTAAACATTGTCCTAAGAGAAGAAGTACCGTCTTACACAGATGGAAGAACATTGGGGTGGGGTTAAGAGGGTGAGGTTGTGATCCTATTTGTGCCACTTATAAAATAATCTTAAACAAAAACAACACAGGACAGGGGCATAAAGAAAAATTATTATTTAATTAGATGCTATATTTTTGTTCTGTTTTTAATGCTAAATCTAAGGGGGGAAACATTGGAAGATTTTTGGTAGAACATTGCTCAAATCCATCAGATGCTACTAGTCAGCAGATGGTATACTTTTAACTAATGAGACAAAGGTCTGGTGAACTTCTATTTTATCTTTGTCCTTATGGTTTTTCAACCTACACAGATTTGTTGTTGGGTTTCCTAAAGAAGTAAAAGCAGCATGTATATGTCTATAGAAATAGATTTATATCAAAAAATGGGTCACACAGTTGTAGAAGTGGGTAAGTCCAGCCCGGTTCAAGTCTGTGGGTCAGAAGTTGAAGGCTTCTTCTGATTCCTGTAAGCAGGGAGATCACAGGCGGTGGAAACAGCTGAAGGAATCTGAGATGGCCGATCTTACAGAAGGCCAATGGACCAGATGTAGGCTCCAAATCCAGCGGTGGAAAGAAGTTAGCTTCCACACACTATCATCTTCCACTGACATTAAGCATAGGCCACACCCTGAAGGAACCCCATATCCACGATATCAAGACTGTGACCAGATTAACTGAAGACCTTATCACGGAGTTGATCACGTTATGTTAGATCACATCACGGGGGAATCTTGGCCCCTCGAGCTGACACAGAACTACCTACCTATCACAGGG